TACACCATCTACTTACACGATATAGGTGTGAAGTTCGACGCGTTTTTGTTGATGCGCGCATTCAGTGAATCCGCGCATTGGGTGCACGGACACGGTAGCGGCCATCACGCGATAGCTTACGGTAGACCAAGTGTCGCAGGCCAAGCGCTGCCGTGAACAAGGACTTATTACTAATCGTACCGTTCGATGACGTAAATATAAGCTAAGCTATGATGCTAGGAAAATACAACAACTTACACACAATTCTTGGTCTGCCATACCTACTACGCCTACACCCAACCGTACAACAATATGCGTTCTGGTCACGGAACTAAAGTCTTGGCAGAATATTTAGTTGCCAAGGTCGAGGCGCAGCAGGGTGGTGGAGGGGTTCCGACAGCAGAGACGCGTTTCTGGGGTGCACGACCGCATTTTCCCGTGGGTTTCAGACCGAGTGCTAAGCACGACTCCGCTCTAGGGTTGTCAGCAGTGTGCATAACCCCGACGTTCAACCGCTAGACCCTGTGGGTAATATAATTTCGACTTCTCTTCAAAGTGCACAGTCCAATCAAGCTTTTTAGGGAGCCCTTCAACCTAATCTAAATGTTACTTGGCCGTGCAGCCGGCGCGGAGCTCGACCCCGTTGCGTGAGACCAGCCGCTAACTGCGACGTGGACACATACGAGTGCGTGATACAGGTACCTAAACGTTAGGTGCCTGGGATGACGCAGAGTCCTCGGTCGATCCGCGAGAGAGGTTAAGCCTGCATGTCTGATAATTTCGTGGGGGAAATCATCGTGAAATTGGTACTGCAAGTTAGTATAAAGAGAAGAGCGTTGAGACTCTGGGGGGTATACACCGCAAGTCGTCTATCCATCAATTCTGCACTTGTCTATCGCCATGGTTGAATTGAAGCAACTTGCGGCAGCATCTAGCCTGACTGGCCTTGCAATAGCATCCAACTTCTCCACACAATGTGCCTCCTTCATTAATACTCTGATCGTTCCCAACGCCACCATCTCCTTTACTGAATACGTTACGGCAAACACGACACTGCAGTTTCCAAACGCCGACCCTAGCTGCGTTCGTCCATCACAAATCGTGTCTGCGGATCTCTGCCGAGTCGACCTTGAAGTTGCGACATCAGCGCGCTCCAGCCTGCGAATGGAAGTTTGGCTTCCTGAGAACTGGAGCGGTCGCTTCCTGAGTACGGGCAATGGCGGTCTTGGCGGATGCATCCAGTATGAGGATTTGGAGTACACAACGGCCCAGGGATTTGCAGCTGTTGGAACCAATAATGGCCACGATGGGTCTACTGGCGTTTCTTTCTTCAACAACCCGGACGTCGTCGAAGACTTTGCATACCGTGCTGTGCACACTGGCGTTTTATTGGGCAAGGAAATCACTAAGACATTCTACGGCAAACCCCACACAAAGAGTTATTACCTAGGATGCTCCACTGGTGGACGTCAAGGATGGAAGTTAGTCCAGAAATTCCCAGACGACTTTGATGGTGTCGTCGCAGGCGCACCAGCTTTCTCCTTCAACAACCTCACGTCCTGGAGTTGCCATTTCTTGCCTCTTACGGGCCTCCAGGGGGCAGCAACATTCGTTCCTCTTGGTATGTGGCCAGCGATCCACCAGGATATTATAAACCAGTGCGATGCGCTTGACGGCGCAGTCGATGGTATTATTGAATCGCCAGACCTGTGCGACTATGATCCTAGCGGACTTATATGCGCTGGAGGTCAGAATTCGTCGTGCCTTACACCCGTGCAGGCGGAGACAGTCCGCAGCATTTACGCTCCACTGCTTGCCTCCGATGGCAGTCTGGTATACCCGCGTCTAGAGCCGGGCGCCGAAGCCACCGAAGCGGTGTTTTCGTACTTCCAAGGCCAGCGCTTTGGTGCAGCAGACTGGTTTCAGTACACCATTCTCAATGATTCCAACTAGGATGCCCTCACTCTCAGCCTTGCAGATTACGATCTTGCCGCTGACTTGAATCCCTTCAACATCGAGACCTGGGAGGGTGATATATCAGCGTTCAGGAACAAGGGTGGCAAGGTACTGCATTACCACGGTCAGTCTGACGGCGTCATTCCTAGCAGCAACTCGCCTCGCTACTACGAACACATCTCCAAAACCATGGGGTTGAACTCAGAGACCCTTGACGAGTTCTACCGTTATTTCCGCATCTCGGGTATGGCGCACTGCGCTAGTGGACCAGGAGCAGCCAGCATTGGTAATATGCGACGCAACACAGCGAGCATGGATCCCGAGGAAAACGTTCTCACAGCAATTGTAAGGTGGGTAGAAGAGGGTATCGCGCCGGAGAGCATCACTGGAACAGCGTTCCGTAACGGTACCGAGAGTGCTGGAGTAGACTACAAGAGGAGGCATTGCCGCTACCCATATCGAAATGTGTTCAAGGGCACTGGCGACTACAAGGATGTGGACAGTTGGGAGTGCATACTCAAGCAGGACGCTTGAGGCCTGGTTGCGGTGGGATAGGACTGGTAATTCTCAGGATAAGGGGGTTGTTTTCTCGCTATCCGGCCTCGACATGTAAGGAGCAGGGCTCGCAACGGATCAAAATCAAATCAATGCTTGATTGATTTGATTTGAATAACTTGATTTGTTTTTGATTTGAGATAAACTTGAATAACTTGCTTTGAATTGAACAACTTGATTTAATTTGAAATTTTCATGGTATAATGTCAGCATCTACGCCTACGTGGAGATAGTGCGTTTCATCACTGATTATGTAACATGAGGATATATATTCGCTCTCTTCGATAGACTCTATCAATCAACCAACTACTTCCTCAACCTCCTCCTCATATGTTTACATATAACCTTGTCAGCAGAGTTGTCAACAATCAATCAGATCGGCATGATTGGTTCCTATCTAGGTATAACACTTTCCTAATCGACGAAATACTAACCTAGGTAGGAACCAATCATGCCGATCTGATTGATTGTTGACAACTCTGCTTGTCAGCCACTAAAAGTGAAACCTAGAGTGCGGCGGACAGATAACCGGGCAACTCTATTGGCCAAACTAATGATCTGACTTCCATCACTCCTGCTTCATGTCTTATGCCTCATGACTCACTCATGATACCTCTAGAAATATACTTAATCTACCTCTACTGTACACTGCAGTGGTGCGCACGATCTTCTTTTAAAATATGTTCTATCCCTTAGCATGACATCAATATCTTCTAACTCGCTTGCGAGCTTATCTAACCTGCCTTTGTCTGTAACATGCAAACGTGAGTATGCTATTCTACATAGCTTTGATATCAATACTTGATTTTGCGGCGGCTATCTGCTCCGACGTTAGCTTGCACATAAGCACTCTCGACAACGCCGAAGTTGGATCTACAATCACGGCGCCCTCGTCTATTACCTATCAAACCTAAGCAAAGACCGTTAGGTTTGTACCCACTGTAATAGTGCTGGTTATAAGACTACCTTTAATCCGGTGTCCTCAACAGCAGCAGCAGGGCATCTACTCCGAAAGCATAACATTGGCCAAGTAGAGCGAAACAATTCACCCGACACACATAGCCTATTCGACCTTGACAGCTGTGTTGAAGACAACAGAATTAGTACCTTGAATGCTCAACTCTGGGCTATGGATGAGCGCCTCCGCACGTTCACGAACATCGACTTCCTTGAATTCTAGCGGAGGCTAGTTGATTAGGTAGCTCTTAACAACCAAAGCTATGACGGAGCGTCCTTATTACAAGCGAGAGAGCTTTTTAAGGCCCTTAACCTAGAGATTGATAACAGGTTTCTATACTAAAGTGGCAACTCTATTAAGCGACTAATTAAGGCTCACTATAGCTATGGTAAGCGTGCTCTGCCATTCTCTCTTTCTCTTGACTTTATAGACTGACTAGGTCCTGAAGCTATCGGTGTACTTCATTGCTCTATTCAAGCCGCACGATCGAAGATCTCGATTAGCTTTGATATCTGGTCATCGTACAATCACCTCTCCTTCCTTGGCGTTGAAGCCTACTACCTGAATACCGATTACGAGCGGGTCGACGTCCTTGTTGCCCTCCGACAGATCCACGGCCGTCACACTGGAGAGGCTATCTGCGACCTTATACGTACAATCTGCAATGAGCACGAAATTTATAGCAGTAGCATTGGCTATATTGTTAGTAACAATGCCTACAATAACGACGCTGCCTGCCGGCTCCTTGGAGATGGGTTCTCCTTCGACTGGCGACATCGTCGTTTACGATGCGGAGGCCATATTATCAACCTTGCGGCTTAATCAGCCTTAACCTATAAGCCTAGCGCGTCTACAAAGAGGGAGTTAAATGAGGATGCCCTTAATGACGAGCGGGTTGAGGATGTTGCTAGGCAGAACGACCGGGACACTCAGTTGCTTGCCACCGCTTTCAACCTAGTCGACCTACAAGACGAAGGGTCTCTTTAGGTACAGCAGGCTGAGTGGAGGAAAAGAGAAGCAAATAGCAAGGCCCATAACATCGTCAACTACATCTGTGCTTCAGACCAGCGGAGAGAGAATTTAGAAAGGTTTAGAAGGAGGTTGAAGGTCAGGCAGAGGTTAAGAAGATCTTCTCGCTAGTCTGTGACAGCAGTGTGCGTTGGAACTTATTATATTGTATAATATATAGGCGTAAGTTTTGTGTTAGAGAAACACTAAGGCTACTGCATTAAGTACTAATTTTAGTACAGTACTTAAGCTTCGAAAGTTAGTTGATTTCTACCTCTTTGAACTCGAACAAGCTGGCGACGAGCTTGTAAGCCATGACCGAATCACTACCGCTGACTGGGACACGCTTACCGCGATCGAAGCGCTGCTTAAGCTACTGTACCTAGCAACAAAAAGACTAGAAGGCCAGAAGGTGAATATCTCGACATAGCTTAATAAGATTGAGAAGCTCTTCGAATACTTTGAACAGTGGACTGAGCGAAGCAAGAGACAGTCCCAGCCAAGTAAGGAGGTAAAGCAATTTGCGGCCTTAATTTAGGCAAAGCTCGACTTCTACTACAGGGTTTCGGACCAAACACCAGCTTACGTTGCAGCTCAGATCCTTAACCCCAACATCAATTAGCGAGGCCTCCAGAAACGATGGGAGGGTCGATCTAGGTGGCTCAGTGGCGCTCAAAAGCGTTTTGAAACGCTGTGCAAGTCCTATAATACTAGATCTATCGATACTGACGTTGCTGTAGAGCCGTCGATTGTTACTAGAGCTACTCAGGCTGCTCAATCGCAGGCCAATGTCCTTGTCCCAGAGACTCAATTCGACGACGACCTCCTCTTCTCCGACGACTACGTTCCCTCAGAGCCTAATACTAAAACGCTCGCACAAGAGCTTAACCGTTACTACACAACACCAAAGGTACTACGGCGGGATGGCATAATTATAGACAAAGTCACTAGCAAACGCAAGGTTGTGAAGGAGCCAATAGATCTTATCACTTAGTAGCGCAATAACAAGGAGCGCTTTCCTACACTGCATAAGGTAGCGCTTAATATCTTTGCTGCGCCAGCAATAAGCTCAGACCTAGAGCGTTGATTTAGTGAGGCTTCAAAAACGTGTACACCAAATAGGAGCTTACTATTAGGGTCTACGTTAGAGAGGAACCAGGTCCTTAGGTCTCTCATACAGGAGGGTGTGGTACGAGAGCGTCAGGTAGCAAACATTGCTGAAACTGAATACTCTGACATTGATTCTGAGGACTCTAATTAACTGCTTTTGTATATAAAATTTCATCGTAATGTATCACTGTAGAGGCTGTGAGTCACTGGCGTACGATTAGTATATCTATTGTTCACAAGTGCGTTTTGTTTAATTCAACAAGTATCGGAGCAAGTTCGCTAGCTAGGAGGGGACTTACTAGTACAAGAAATCGGGGTCTATCTACCCCGCAGCGGGGTATCAATTCAAATTAAGTTATCTAAATCAAATCAAGATTAAACCAAATCAAATGCTTATGTAATCAAATCAAATCAATCAAATCAAGTATTGCTTTGATTTGATCCGTTGCGGGCCCTGGAAGGAGGCACGTGATCGCTAGCAGCTCCATGAGCGTGAGGAAGAGTAGGTACAACACCAAAAAGCTGAGACAAATAGGCTTCGTGAGGAAGCAAAGCAGTCAAAGGCAAAGGAGAAGGTTATGAGGCGTCAGGCAAGGGCTGCAGCCAGGCTAGTGAGGGGAAGGAGAAGGCTGAGAAGGCTGCTGAACAGGCCTCTAGGGCAGCTGCGCGCAGAGCTCATCAACAACTCAAACAAGCCTTTAGAACTTCACCAAAGGGTAAGAAGTGCAGCATCCAGCCTCCTGCGAAAGCTACCTTGAAAAAGAGAGCTGTTATAAGGCCTACAGGTGGTAGAGAGCCTCAAGGTGCTGTAGTAGGCGCACCAGCTCTCAGGTCACGACGTAGCCGCAACATCACTCCTTCTACACGATATCAATAGCTGCATATATTTAATTAAAACCTATAGATATCACCACTAGAAAAGAGCGCGATAATAGCTATTGTGTGAGGCTCTACAGCCTCAAGTGGTAGAGTTATTTTGGTGTTCAGGTGGTTCGGTTTGGCTGGGGGGCCGGTTTGGCCGTCGTCCTCGGTATGCTAGTTTGAAGTTTAAAGATTTGCTAGAATGTGCTAGTTAAAAATTAGACGTTGCCCCAGATCGGGCGTTGCCTGATAAACCTTGGTATCGCTTTCAAAAAAAAGTAAAAAAAGGAGCAATAGGTTCTCTTCCCAAGATTGACCTTTACCCAGAACGAACTATCGAAATGGCCATTGCGCTTCTGAACTTGCAGAAGGGGTATTCCTTGACTCCTCGAACATGGTTTCAATCTGCGTATCCACTGTAATCCCTTTGTAGCCCACATACTGCTCCACGCCCGTAGACGGCGGATCAGTAAACAACGAGTCCTCTGATCCGTTCGCTCGGTTCCGGGTATCGTGCGTCGAGTGCAAGCCTCTAGATGTCTGGTTGGCGTTGTTAGAGGCAGTAATGCGGTTTTCGTTTGCTTTGCGGCGTGCGGAGGAGAGCTCGTAGTGGCGGCCGCCGTGGCTGTTTGAGGCGCCGCCGTTAGAGGAGTTATTTGTGCCGAGGATCATGGAGCGGAGGGCGGGGAGGCAGGTGGCTATTATGGCGATTGCGGTTTCGATCCTGGAGACGGTGAATGTTAGCAATATTTCGTTCTTCGTGGAGTAGTAGGCTCGGACGACTGGGTGAAAAAACCATGTTAGCTGAAACTCACAAGAGTGGTTTGGGATAGGGTACTCATGGTTGACGTACTGCTAGCTATTACTACGAAGAAACCCAGGGCGAAGATTCCGGCTACTCCGAGTTTTTGCTTCAATTTCATCTGCAGGCGAGACACCATTGCGATGGGCAGGCACATGATGATTACATCCGTGAAGATGTTGAATAAGGTGGTGATCCAGTAGTTGATCTTGCCGGCTCTGGGACTGCATTGATCTGCGCAAGGTCAGAACCCACTGGTATGCGTATTGCGACTACGGAGTGCTTTTTGTGTGTACTCACAGTTTGGATCATTGGACCATCGCTTATTGTGCGGGTAGCACTGAAATATGATATCGAAGAAGATGACCAGGTACGTGACAAGCAAGCCTGCAAGTGCAAAGTTATACACAAGCACCAGTCGAGAGCCCGGCGCAGCGAGGCTCTTGTAGAAGAAGACGAGGGCGAACTTGATGGCCCAGAGCGACGTGATGTAGAGTGTTGATCCGAGGATAATCATCTGCATTATTCCTTTGAAGTTGTCCGGTGTCACTGTCGACATGTCTCTTAGCCCTAGACTCCACATGTGCTGCTGGATCGCTAGATCTCCAATCAGACAAGCCATTGCAAGGAGAATAAGGAAGTCGTCGATGCCCAGGTTGCCTAGCCTCTTCCACCGCGCATACATGCGCAGCGCAACGAAAGGTACTGCCGCTACGGTACAAATGTACCATGATACCTACCAGCTGGGTCAGCATACTGCACGTAGCAGAAAGAGGATGAAGAACGTACCACCTGCCCGAGCCTACTGTCGCTCATTGTCACTTTGATTCTCTGGCCGTCACCGAGATAGGACCGTGAGGTGTTCGCGAGCAGCCTGCTCGCTCCACTCTGGGTAGAAAGAGATTCAAGAGCAATGTCAGTGGACAGTGGCGAGACAGGGAAGGGGGTTTGACAGCGGGGTTTCCGCGTACAAGTGTCGATGTTGATTTCTTCTCCACAAACGAACGAACGACCCCTAAGTAACTTTACGAGACTGTTACGGGAGGCGACTAGTAGGCCGTCCAGTAGCTTGCTAACAAGGTGTCATCAGGGGCCACAGTCCAATGCCCAACTTTAGCTGTCAAATCTTATTTCCTTAGTGCCTTGGCCGCTAGCCATACGTCCCGTCTATACCCAAGTCCTGATTGCGGAACCATTCAGGCGGCCAGGTGGTGGCAACGTTTCCCATGCATTAGAGCGCCACTGTCGTCTAGCTTCTCGTCTTCCAATCCTATGGTTCCTGTCGGGCAACGCAGTGCGAGCGAGGATGCATGCATATGGCGGAGTCTTACCAGGGCTTACCGTGCCCGTGCACCCAACGAGCCAGTTCGCGTGACGAGCCACCCAAACATAAACTCGAGATCGTAGAAATGAGGCTGTAGAGTCACTCACAAAAGCGATTATCGCGAGATTTTTTGGTATATTAATCTATAGATGTAACCTGTTTCACCAGCGAGCGGCCCACCCACCGAGCGGCCCAGTTCCCCCACCAACACGCGTACCTAGCAACAACACGTAATGTCTCGACAACTACAACCTCTCAAGGCTTATACTAAAGCTAATGTGCAGCTTGCCCTCTTAGACGTTAAACGTAACCAAGTTCCAAGCCTGCGACGTGCGGAGGCAGTCTACAAAGTCCCAAAGACAACGATACGACGGCGACGCGACGGGAAGCCCTCTAGACGCGACTGCGAGCCAAACTCAAAGAGCCTGACGAAGCTAGAAGAGGAGGTGATTGTACAACGTATACTTGATGAGGATCTGCGTGGAGTACCGCCCTCGAAACTACACGTACGAGATATGGCTGATAGATTGCTGCGCGATCGCGGCGTCAAGTCTGTTGGCAAGAACTGGGTTGACAGGTTTATCCAGCGTACACCTGAGCTGCGCACGCGCTGGAGCCGTCCATACGATCGCCAGCGAGCTCTCTGCGAGGACCCAGCAATCATTGAGCCCTGGTTCATGCTGGTTCAGAACATGAAGGCGAAGTACGGCATTATAGACGACGACATGTGCAACTTTAACGAGTCTGGCTTCCTGATGGGCAAGATATCGTCGCAACTCGTAGTGACAGGCATGGACAAGCCTGGGAAAGCAAAGAAGCTTCAGCCTGGTGATCGCGAGTGGACTACGTTAATACAGGGCGTCAGCGCAATAGGGCGCGTTATCCCACCCTTCCTTATCTTTGCCGGCAAGGTTCTTATCTCTAACTGGTTTACTGAGGACCTCCTACGCAACTGGGTTATTTAAGTAAGCCCAACAGGTTGGACAAACAACGATCTAGCGCTTGCTTGGCTTGAACACTTTGATACGCATGCGAGGCCTGTAGGAGCGTACAGGCTGCTTATTATTGACGGCCACGAGAGCCATTGCTTAATAGATTTTCAGGATCGCTGCAAGGAGAAGAAGATTATCGCCCTCTGTATGCCTCCACATTCGTCGCACCTCCTGCAGCCGCTTGACGTTGCCTGCTTCTCGCCGTTGAAGCGCGCGTACGGCGATGAGATCTCAGCCTTGGCACGCGATCGCATCCACCACATCAACAAACAGACCTTCTTACTAGCCTTTAAAGTAGCTTTTGAGAAGGCATTTATAAGAGAGAATGCTTGCGCAGGGTTTCGAGGCGCTGGATTGTGTCTACATGATCTACAAGCCGTGTTATCAAAGCTGGATGTGCAGCTGCGTACGCAAACTCTACTACAGCAAGATGACGCCGCTTAGGAGGCGTAAACACCGCGCAACGCCAAAGAAATGGAGGCGCAATCAACGCTGATTCGAAACAAAATGCAAATCCATCGAGGGTCTCCAGCAAGTTCACTTGACGAGCAGGTGCGACAGCTAACAAAAGGCGCGCAGCAGATAGCTTATGAGATGGTGTTGATGCGCGCAGAGATGGGGCGCCTTCGAGACGCAACAGAGACGCTTACCAAGCGTAAGAGTCGCAAGAGACGCTACGTACGGGCAGAGGAGTCACTGACAGTTGGCGAGGTATTAGACTTAATTGCTGAAAAGGAGGGTGGCAGTCGTGAGGAGGGTGAGGAGCCGGCGAAGAGGGTGCGCGCAGGGCGACGCTGCGGCCGTTGCGGCAAGATTGGGCATAACTCTCGTACGTGCAAGGTAGAAATTGAGGATGCGAATGATAGCGACGCTTCTGAATAATACTATACTGTTGCAAGAGTATAAAAATTGTGTTGTGGTGCTAAGCTACGTCGCGGCGCGTACGCTTCGCTGGTGTTCGTGGGCCGCTCGGTGGGGTGGGCCGCTCGCTGGTGAAACAGGTTAAGCCAGCCTATTTCGATAAAATGGACCATTCGTGGGTCATCGACAAACTTATCATGATTTGGAGGAGAGTATTTGGCCTGGCTAGGCATTAGTATAATATCACAAAATAAGGGAATAGTAGATACAACCTTCTGATCTTCAAAATAAGTAAGTATAACATCTATTATCTCTACACTTTGTGACAGAGATGCTTTATAGCCCTTAACCTACAACGTTCCACTATTAAAAACAGAAAGAAATTCTTCTGTGCGTTCTAGTATATCCTAATCACGATTCTAGAGTTAGAATAGTTTACATTTATCGTGTTTTGCGAAAAATTCCTTGATTTCATTCCTCTTTTTGTTCGCACGCTTAATGACCTAGAACCACGATGACCATCTTGTATCATTATTAATGCCTAAAGTGATTCCGACTTCTAGCATCTACAGATCGTGATGGTTCGTACTATAACGAAGCTAAACAGCAAGATTATGAAGCTTCTCTAAAGCAGGAGTTGCTCCCCAGCCTTCGAATCCTTTCTGCTTGCCTTTGTCCTTGCCCTTTGATTTCTGTACGTGATCCCTACACTGTACAGACTGTAAGTTATCGTCAGCTGTAGGTACGCTAAGAGAGGTAGAGAGGACCTCGTATAGATCTACATCTACATGTCGATCAATCGCTTGAAGGGCGGCTTGAAGGGCTTCTTTTGAGCGAGCAAGGAGGAAGGCTTGAAGGGCGAGATTGAGAATATAATCAAGGCATCGAACACGGTAGGCTTTCGGATCAAAATCAATCTAATAGTGTTAGTATAAACCACACTAGAGATAAAGACATACCTAGTATTCTTGTTTTAAAAGCTGTACAAGCTCTTGTAGAAGCGTATCGTTTGATGTCGCGTTATCACCAGTATAGAAGCCAAGTTTTGTAAAGATTCCGTACGACCGTAGGACGTTAATGATGTAGATAGCTTGTGTTTAACCAGAGTAGCTAAATAGAATCTGTAGGAGGGCAAGAAGTCCGTGTCAAAGCCTGTATGTATAATCTATCCAGCGTGCGCAGATAGCGAGATACGCTCTACGAGCTAGAGATGACCACATGTCCGTTGAGATGTGAATATCGCCAATAGCCTCCTAGAGGTTATTTTAAAGCTGTTTCTTGTACTTTTTAAAGTTTAGTTTTAGAAGACGATTAAGGCTTCTTCTACTAAACAGTGCAAGATCGTTAATCTCTAGATTAACAGACAAGAGTAGTTTATAAAGCTCTAGCTAGCCAATAGCACTTAGAGGGAGTCGTTGTCGTGCGCAGAGAGCTATCATCGCTTAAATATGTCGTTGTTTGTTATACGCCTGTCGTAAAACTATTTCCTAAGCAGTATTAGTATTTAAGAGAGCAAACTTCTTAATAAGAATCTAGCGGGGATCGTAGCTAAAAGAAGAGCGCTCTTCTTTAGTTAATTGCTTAAATTCCTTCTATTAAGCCTTATGTTTTGTTTTAACGTGATGCTGAGCGGCCAAAGTATAGACAGTATGCTATACTTTAGGCTTTAGTTCATTTAAACAGGAAATACAGTAATAGAGCGTCTTTTGTCGACGCTTCCCATTTTATACAACCTCTCTAGTCTATGCCTCTGTACCCCTTGCAAGCTAAAAGTATACCTATATCGATTTCTAGGCTGTTTGAGGTATAGAGGACTCTGTAGACACGCTGCGAAGGGAGGGAGGGCTAGAGGACGGAGAGATAAGGGTAGAAGGGCCGGATTGTAAGATACAGGGTATAGAAGGAGTAGAAAGAGTATCTAAAAGCGATGACGAGGCCTAGGATACAGACATGTTGGTTCGCAAAGTGATAATATTGATACAGAGCTAGATACTCTAAAGAGGTGGAGAAGAAGGGATAGTAACTGGGTTGATTGCTATAGATGGTCGCGGACCAGTTCTTGTAGTTGCGCTCTAGACTAGGGCATGTCTTAGGTGCACGGAAAGTCCAGTTTCACGTATAAAAAGCAAACACTCCATAACACTACTACTTACACGATGCCAGCAGTCATGGAGCCAGCTCCATAAATGGCTCAGCTGTCAAGATGGGCGATGAAGACAGTGATCATGTGACTGATGTTGCATGACTAATTAGCGTCAGTACTTAGTCTTAGATCTCACCTTGACAATACGATAACTCTTACACCCCCCAAGTTTTGACATCAGCGATATCCAACGTCACGTGATAGGTCGATATATATTAGTATGAAAGCCTGTAGAATTTGTAGAAATCTAATCAAAAGATAAGATGAAATTGACCAATCAGAAAGCGTGTAGAGTGGTAGAGTGCTCTACTCCTCTACAGGATAGAAACTTGTAGAATGGAGTAGAGTAGAATAACCACTATTCTATTCTATCGTGTAGAGTGCTGTAGAGTGGGTGTAGAGCGCTCTACAATGCCCATGTATGGGAGGCGGCGAGGGCGGGGCGGCTGGCTGCAGGAGAGAAGCGCTGGACGGGTATTTGGATGGGGGGAAGGAT